CATCCCACATGCATACTATTATTGAAAACTAACAGAAAACTCAAAAGCAATTAATAATTCAAGCTTGAGCTAAATAAAGATATACATTAGAAGATAGGAGAGGGCTTCCAAATATTAAAATTCCATTATCTTTTATTTTCATTTTTCCACAAACTTTTTGAAGTTCCTCGTCTTTCAAAACTATTCCCATCATCCTAATTCAAATTTAGAAAATTTTAAAAATCCTTTTTTATTTTGCTGATTTACAAAACCTGGGAGATTATTTCACAGGCTGGTATTAAGTGGTTCATCTTGAAAGTGTGATCTGGGCTGTCTCTGAGGTCAAAAACTTAAGTTCTTATTAACACCAAGATGTTGTCTTTCTCACTCCCATTCTCTCATGAAGGTAGAGTGAAGTTTTTCTGGTAGTATTGTAAAAGATTGAGTGCAAAAGATGTAAGTCTTCTGTTAAACCAGACATTAAATATGTTAATGTACCATTCTTCTTAAATTTCTTGCAAGATTGGCAGTGTTTTCATTCTGTTGTGCATAATGTCACTATTAGGGCACATAACAGTAACTATGTGTTGTTGTCGTTAAATGTCAACTTGGTTCCAACTCATAGAAATCCTTTAAAGGGTTTCCAAGGCTACTGACCTTGTAGCCCTGTATTCAGTGCTTATCCTACAAAGCCACTGTGCTCCATGGTAATGTTATTGTTAAGTGCCATAGAGTTGGTTCTGACTCATAGTGGGTTAGTATTTTAAATGAATCATTATTTTAAAATGTTTAGTTTTAATTTTTAATGACAAATACCAATATGTAACACACACACACACATACAAAAGTTTTCTGGGATCCTGTATTTCTAAGAATGCAAACAGGCCCCTGACCAAAAGATTTGACAACCAATGCTGTTAAGACTTAATATTTTTAAGAAACACCTACATTTTCCTTAAATGTGTTGTTAGGTGTCACTAAGTTGATTTCAACTCATAATGACCCTGTGTTAGTGTGTGGAATCGTTGGTATGTTTGAACCCATTATTCAGCCACTGTGTCACTCCATCTTGTTAGGCTTCTTCTTTTTTTGCCAACCTTTTACCAAGTGTGATGTCCTTTCCCAGGAACGGTTTCTCCTGATATGTGAGACAGAGTCTCTGCACCCAAACTTCTAAGGAACACTGTGATTGTCCTTCCAAGACAGATTTGTTTCTTCTTTTGGTAGTCCATGGTATATTCAATATTCTTTGCTGACACCATAATTCTTTATTTATGTAATTCTTTATTCACTGTCCTACTTTTGTATGCACATGAAGCAATTGAATATGCCATGGTACATGTTTAAAAGTTAGTATTTTAACTTATTCTAAAATCTCTACTTTGCTTTGTTTCTTTGTCCTACTACATGATCCACAGCACATACTAGACAAATGAATAATCTTTTGCAAAGTGGTTACAAAAATAAACTTTGTAAATGCCTCTCATATATAAACCAGTTTCTATAAATCCAAACATGTGGAATAAACATCAAACTAAGAACTGGTGGCAAAATGTGTGACAATTTGCAGGGAAAAGAACATGTAAAACATTTTAAATGATTATATAGAAATTATTTGCTTATAATCATATCCTCTCGTTTTTTTTACCCCAGAGATTCCTTCAGTCGAATGAGCCTTCGCAAAATGGATCTCTAAAGTAAAAGCACTTGTTTTATTCATTTGAAAAGAGCCATGTATTCAACTTTGAGTGTGAACCATTAAGATCATTTGAAAAATGAGACTTGGGACTTAATTCTGGAAATTATAGCATCAGTTTATTCATTGAAGAATGCGATCAGATGTAGACTGTTAAACGTTTGGCTACTATGGCTGTGGTTTCCAGCGCTCTGGTAATATGCTGTCACCTTTTTAACGACATTTTAATGACTCAAAGGTACATTATACATTTACCATTATTTATAGCATAGCTAAGGTTAAATTTATTTACTTTAAGTTCTTATTTTTTAATTTATATTACCATTTATAGATTCATTTTGGAACCATTTTAAATGTAGTAATGCTTATTTTAAAGGTACTATTAAATATGTGAATGTTTACACTAATTTTTACTTGAGTGGGACTTAAAATTTTTTTCCCCTTATTGACAAAGGCAGAGAATAAGTTATACTTGATTCAAGAATTAGTTTCCAAACTACTAAAATGAATATCAAAACAGTCACTTTATGGGCCCCCAAATCAGTGACTGAATGGTAAGTGGTTTGTGGGAAGTCAAAGATGGTTTCTAAGTTATCTTCCTAATTAAGAACAAACTGTAGAAATAACCAATAAAACTTTTGTCTGTAATTAAAACTGAGGTAGCTACTCTCAGTGACAGCAGCCTGATCTTTCTGAATGACTGTCAGCCCTTTTATGCCACTGTCAACAGCACCCAAGAGGATTCTTGTGTTCAAATCAAACAAGCTAGCCACCAGTCTACTAGTGATCTAAATTGGTAAATTACATATCTACTTTAAAGCTATTTAGTATCACATAACTCTGAAAGCATAGTGGAGCTGAAGGGTAAGTATTGGACTAACAGCAAGATTGGAGGTTCAAACCCACTGGCCACTCCTTGTATGGTTGCTGTGAGTCAAACCTACCTTTGGAGTGCTTGGATAGTGGGTTATGCAATGACCTGCAAACTACAAGGCCAACAGTTCAAGTCTACCAGCCACTGTATGGATGAGGCTTTCTGTTCCCATAAAGATTTATAGCCATGGAAACCTTCTACATACATACCTACATCTTCAATCCTTATGTACAGCTGTTTAGACTGAATCACAAAAATGGTTTCTCAGGTGTGTATACAGTATTGTACTAAAAAGGAGTATCTAAGAAGTGACAAAGGTGTAACCTCAAAAATCTATTTAGGGAAAGATGATCCAAATGAATATGGCAAGGCAAGGAATCAAGACTAGAAACTCACGAGAAAAAGGTGACATATATATTTATATATAGGAGCTCTGGTAGCGTAGTGGTTATGAATCGGGCTGCGAACCTTAAGGTCAGTGGTTCGAAACTACCAGCTGCTCTGCGGGAGAAAGATAAGGCTTTCTACTCCTGTAAAGATTTACACCCTCGGAAACCCTGTACAGGGTCGCTATGGGTCGGAACCGACTTGACGGTACTTAACAGCAACAACAACATTCCTATATGGTGGCATAGTGGTTATGAATCAGGCTGTGAAATTACCAGCTGTTCCAAGGGAGAAAGATGAGGCTTTCTGCTCCCGTAAAGATTTACAGCCTCAGAAACCCTGTACAGGGTCGCTCGGAGTCGGAATCAACTCCACGGCACATAACCACGACCATATGGTGGGGCAAGTACACACAAGGGAGAGATGAGCCTGGTCACTTCTCTTTAGGTTACACAAACCTCAGTCACATTATCAAGGACTTAAGATTTTAACATTTTATTTTCTGAGTCAGAGTAGAGGCTTCCTTACTCTTAAACATTGGCATTTACTTAACACTTCCTAACTTTTCATGTATTTCCAATTAAAATTCCTTATATCAGCAATCTATTTATACTAGTAGTTCTTAACTTTGACTGTCTCAGAGTATTATAGAAGCCCAGATTTTATGCTAAACCTATTCCAGCAGCAGCTCAGGTTTCTTATGTTTTTTTTTAAAGTTTGACTCGAGATTGTGACTGTAGACAGGAATGAGATCTATGACTTTTATTATCATTACAACATCCTGTTGAATAGTATGTATGACATTATGTAATTTATTAGTTGACAAAGCACTCTTGTATGTTGAGACAGTATATAACTGTATAAACATTATTGGAATAATACTTTCTTTAGAATAAGAAATACTCTTTGTGCCAAGAATGCTAGTAAGTCATAAATGATTATTCATCAATTCAGTATATATCTAAGATGACAATTTAACTAAGTTTTTATTTGTGCTCAAAGTTATCATCTCATATTCTCATGGTTTGGAGCCCATAAAGAACCTACTTTAAAGGACAACTAAAATGTAACCTATTTTCATTTGTAAACTTCTTTTATGTGTGACATCTTGGATGGAGTAAACACAATTCCTATTTGGAAATTCTTCACCTCCACTGTCAAAAAGTATTAAGTATTATTAAAGGTAATGATGCATGCTTATTTTTTCCATATATATATATATATGTGTGTGTGTGTGTGTGTACATATATATATGTATACACACACACACATTCTGTTCTTTAATAGAACCCAGCTTTACTTATAGTATAGATATGCAGGTATAAAAATTAGGACATTTGTATACATAGTTAAGCAGTTTTAATTTTATTGACCTCCCAGTTTTTAAAAAAAGTTAAATTTAAGGTCATCCCTCTAAGTTTGATGTACTATATACAGATCGTGCAGAATGACTATGGAGATACAAATTAGTCCATGCCCAAAAAGATTTACCAATACAGAATCATCTTCATAAATACATAAAAAATTCTTTTGAAGATAGGAGGGGGCTGTCTACATTTTCTGAGACCACTTTCAAAGTGATTCAAGGCACAAAATGAACACCATTGTGAATACACACATTCTAGATCGACTCTTTGTGCCGCTAATTTGGCATCACAACTGTCTTATAAAACTAAATGTACTGAATGAGATTCTGCCTCTTAGCTGGAAAACCACAGGACCTATAAACATGTAATTACTCCAAAATATGGAGAATACAAATACAAGCACTTTATTTTAAAAAGCAAACACAAAAGGTAAGTGTTTAAATGCTTCCATTTTGGATAATTCATTCAGAACTTACACAAGTTTGTTCCCTGAAGCTAATGCATCACTAGTCTCTAGTAAGGAAAATGAATGCTAAAAATTTACATGGTTTTCAATTAATTCAAATTTCACTATATAAAACCTAGAGTCCAATAATATCAAATAGCTTCAAAAGATAAGCTCTTTAGCTTACCCTTTGATGTCATTAACATTACCAATGTTTGTCCAGGTTTGTTTAATATACACAAGGAAAATACTCTATAATTTCTTATAAAATAACAAGTAAGGAGTAGATGTAGGAGATGTGGAAGGGGAAAGAGAATTTAAGAAGTCTTTCTCTTCTGTAACTTTCACTTCAGAATCATCAAATAGCAACCACTTTCCCTCATACTCCTTTAAGCTTTGCACTACGTATGAAATTTTATTCTCGAATCCACTAATGTTAATGCCTGTTTGTTCACTGGACTCCTTGTTGCTATCAGATTCATGGGTCCCATTACTACTGTTATTCTCAGAATTTCGACTTTCAACAAATGCTATACCAGCAACCTTATCAGGATTAGATGCTTTGTTGTATAATTCATAATCTGCTTTGCTCTTTTGTCCTCCAAGAAGTCCAACAGCTTCCACATTTTTTTTGTTTAGAACTTTACTTGGCTGTGTATTTCCACTGACTCTAATAGATACTTCTTCATCATCACAATTTTCAACCACACCCCTTGCTTCCTCCTCATTCAATGGTTCTGCCTTACTTATGTCACACATTTGGGCTACGATAAAATTTCCTTTATCTAGTCCTAAACTGTTAAGGTCAGTTACCTTAACAGAAGCAGTGTAATGCCCACTACTAATAGTGATACCACTGTGCATCACAACTGCAAATAATCCATAGCTGTCGTTGGTTGGCTTTGTGCTCCATTCTTCCAGTGACAAATGAAGGGGTGTCAACAAAGGAGTGTTGATCTTGGAAAGTCCACCACCATAACAATCAAACCTTTAGGGGTAAAAAAAATAAAATAAAAGTTCTTTTGTGGTTCCAATTACAAATATTTTATTTAAAGTGTTGTACCCCAATATGAACTCAAGTAAGTCTAAAGGATTCTTTAATAATTTCTAGCGCTCATATGACTAAACAACTCAAGAGAAACAAACCCACAACTTTCTGTAATGTTTATCTTGCATACAAAAAGTATGTTGAATTACTCCTAATATTCTGATTTTCTGTGGAGCATATATAGGCTTTACCTTGTTTTCTTAATTTTGTGTAATTATACAAAACAAAACTCTCCATATTATAGTTAAATCATTGTTTTAACTTCTTTTCTAACAAGATGAAGGAACAAAAATTAGTAAAATTATATTGTATCAAAGAAAAAAATCCACAGAAAAAAGGGAAAACTATGATGTCATGTTAGGCACGCTAAACTATAGAGTTATTGGGAAACCCTCACAGTAACTTCAAAGAGGCTTTGTGCCAAAAGGCTGAAGTTTGAACCCATCCAGCTACACCATAGGAAAAAAACAATGTGATCTGCTCCCAGAAGATTAAAGTCTAAAAAACTCAAAGGGGCATTTCTGTCACAGGAAGTCACTATGAGTCAAAAATCAACTCAGTGACACTTGTCAAGTGCTATCGAGTCGGTTCCGACCTATAGTGACCCTCTCTAGGGTTTCTGAGAAGCATCTGGTAAGCTTGAACCACCAACCTTGCAGTTCAGATGGCTTTGCAGTGTAATTTCAAACAAATCAATATACAAAGGAGTGGAATATGTGTCAGAAAAAAAAGAGTATCCACCAGAAGCTTTAATTTTTAATTCTCTATTACAGATAAATTGTACATTTGTTCCAAGACCACTTTGATTTCCCTAGTTTACCTAAAGACTAAAAAGAAATTTGCCTTTTCTCCCTTATATATGTATAAAATTTGTTTCCTGCTTTAATAAATATGCTAGTCTCTAAGAAGGAATGAAAATAAATCAGACTTAACAAAACAGTCTTTAAAAGTGCTACACAAGCCTTTTCAATGCTAGTAACAGCAGAGTATATAGTCATAGCAAAAGGATTTAAATTGATTCTTTTTACAGGGAAATTCTTAACAGAACAAAACTCTTTTAAAACAATCTTTAGAAAGTACTTGATTTTACTATTTTATAGTCCCATTGTTTTGAATAAACTTATTAACAACTCATTGTTTTCATAATAGCCTTTATTACAATACTCACTCCAAGCCACTAGCAGCAAAGCACTTCAAGTGAATAGTAATAACTTCAGGCATTTTGTCAAACAAAAGACTTCGTTCAGCTTCAGTATAATGATGGCAATTTTCACAGAAATATTTGTCTTCCCCTACAATCCTCTCCACTGAAGCAAATTGTGAAATTGCCCATCTCAGGGTCTTCATTTCTGTTTTTGGTTCTGGAGAAACTACAAAAGAGAATCTTTTTCATTCAAAAATTAATATATCTCTCGGATGTTAAAAAATTAAAGGACAAAGTTCCATGTTCAAAATAAGCATTTCATTTCACTTGACTAGGCCATCCCCAAATAAGAACTAAATAGTTTCAGGAACTCTTATCGTAAGTTTACTCTCAACATATTAACTATACATAACTTTTACATATTTATATTTGGATGACCATCAAATATCTATATACTTTTGATAAAGAACAAGATAAAACTAGCTTTTGCCTTATTTAGGATATTTGTGCTCACAACACACAAGCAATTATATATAATTTTATGATAATATAAACCTGAATATATCTGGGGACTTTTTAGTTAAAAACCCTTTGTTGTTAAATGCCCTCAACTTGATTTCAACTCAAAGCAACACTGTATGTATAGAGTTTCCAAAAAGCAGCTGTTGGGTATGAACCGCTGACCTTGTGGTTAGTAGTATAGTATTTATGCTAAAGTGCCACCTCAGGACTCCAAAAGTCCTTTAGAGGACTTAAAAAATAAAAACCTTTTGTGGGGAGAAAAAAGAGCCAGCAGAAAATAAACTGAAGATGAAAATTATCAGTATGAAAAAGTAACAAAAATAATCCAGTAGCCCTAAAAGATTCTACAGAAGCTATTAACTTACTGTTCATATTTATAAAATGAAGATTTTGTAACGCTCTTAAATCATGATTATTATCAAGTGAAGCGATCTAAGTCATATTAGACCAAGGACATTAAAAGTCAGGTTTTCTCCCCAATTACACAAGTTACTATTAGACTGAAAATTATTTAAGAAAAATATAATTATTCCATACCATGGTCCATACAAGACTCTAATTTTGCTTACTTTCAGAACTCTCCTCTACTTTGGAAAGCTCATCTTCTTGTACTGGCACACTGATGTCCTGAAAATTTTCTCTTCTCTCTGTTAAACTTTCACATTCCAAGCACCGAGTCCTTAATACCAGCTGACCTTGAAATAATTTCTCCACAAGCTCAAAACCAATTTGCTCCGCACCTAAAGATAATAAGAAAAAAAAATTAAAAAAAAAAAAAAAAAATATATATACATACACACACACATATAAATTTTTAGCATTAAAATTCTATTTAAATAAAGCAGTATCATGAATAAAGCCCCATTTTCAGATCTGTTTTCTTGTTAGCATTGCATTGTTATTAGCTTACAATGAGTTGGCCTGACTCATGGTAACCCTATGTACAACACAATGAAACGATGCCTAGTCCTCCAGCAACCCTGGTCAGTTACAGATTGGACTACTGTGATCAATGGGGTTTTCATGGACTCATCTTAGACACTGCCAGGCCTTTCTTCCCAGCGCATCTTAACTTATAAGCTCTGCTGAAGCCTGGTCCACATACAACTCTCCATTGACAGACAGATGCATTGGCTAAGAATCAAACTTGAGTCTCAGGCACAGAAGGCCAAGAATCCCAACAGAACCATGACAACAATGGATTATCCCGAGAATTTAAATCCTTGGGTGGTACAAAAAAATTGCACCTCCCAACCAAAAGGCTGGGAAGGTTAAAGTCCATCAAAAGGTACCTCAGAAGAAAGGCCTGGAAAACTATTTCCAAAATATTAGCCATAGAAAACTACCAGGAGTTTACTGTGAGTCTGAATCTGCTCCATGACTACTTTTATTAGTATCAAGAGAGGCATTATTTATGAAATATAAATTTCCTATAAAAGGAGCACGGTGGCTCCAAAGGATTAACACTGAATTAAAAACCACAAGGTTGGCAGTTCAAGGCCACCAAGCACTCCACGGTCACTCCAAGGTGAACAATGAGGCTTCTGCTTCTGCAAAGATTTAAAGATTCAGAAACCCTATACAGGGCAGCTATGAGTCAGAACTGACTCCACGGCACTCAACAACAGTAGCCAATTGATTGTAATCTGACAATACTTGTGTGTTTCAGAGTAGAACTGTTCTCTATAGAATTTCATTGGCTGTGATCTTTTGAAAGTAGAACTACCTTTGTTCTACACTATCTTTGGTTGTAACTGAAACCACCAACCTTTACAATTAGTTGCTGAGCACTTAACCTTTCACATCACCCAAGGACTCCTAGAAGGTAAAATACAATCATCCCCCCATTAAAATGTATTCAACGCCTAGTTTATAGACCATAAATTATTATTAGTGTACCTAGGATTAGTGGGATTATATATGTAACACATTTCAGTAAAATGCTTTTTTAAATGCTCTGGTAGCATAGTGGGTTATAAGTCAGGCTGCTAATGGCAAGGTGAGCAGTTTCAAACTATCAGCGGTTCTGAGGGAGAAAGATGAGGCTCTCAGCTCCCGTAAAGATTTACAGCCTCAGAAACCTTATGTGAGGTCACTATGAATTGGAACCAATTCCATGGCACATAACCATAAAGTTCTCATTCACTGTTAAATTTTTCTTTAAAAGAAAAAAACAGCAGCCCTACAGATTATATTATACAAGCATCCAAGGAGAACATTCTAATTATGTAACTGTTACTCTCCTACATATCCATGGCTAAGAACAAATTGTACTGACCTTTGTTTATGGCCTTATCTTCATTAACGTTAATGGGTTTGACATTATTCCCTGGAGAGTCAAGTCCACAACCATTAACCTTTAAAGTGTGATTATCACTTGCACACTTCTCACTATTCCCTTGAAGATCATATTCATTTTCTTTACAGTGGCCTTTGGATCCCTGGTTTGTTGTTATTTTCCCCAGACTACAGAATTTGGAAAGAATGCTGGGTTGCTTAGTTGCAGACTTTAACCAGTTTATTTTAACTCTCGATTTCTTTTGTGAGGGCCTTGCACTCTCATTTTCACAAACATACTTGGGGATTATTTTTGCAGGAATTTCTAATGTATCACCTGTAGCTTTCCTTTTGGATCTAGTTTGTCTCTGGTTCTCTTCCAATGACTGATAATCCTTGAATACTTTAGCTTTTTTCTTCATGTTACCAAATTCAGTGTCACTTTTTCTTTTTGCATTCCCTTTTGGAAGTTTTCCTTTATATTCTTCAGAATGCGTCGAATCGTCCATTTCTGTGTTAATACCACTTGTTTCCTCTTTCTGATGGGGTTTTTCTTCTACCTTAGTGGATAATTCTGCCACATTTTTCATTTCTTCTTTTTTTAGGAGTTGGCATGTTTCTTGAATGTTTCCCAAAATACACTGTAATACTTCCTGTGCATCATGCTGTAGATATCCTTCATACATAGGGTTGAGTTCCCTATGATAAAAATTTTCATTTAATTTATTGGAGTTTTGAAGATACAATTAAAAAAAAAAAAAAAACCCTTCTATGTAAAAATGAATTTAGATTATCATAACCACATTTTAAAATTCAAGAATATAATGTTTATAATACTATTTATCATGTTATCAGGTAGTAAACCACTATCAAATGCAGTCGGCTGAAATCATTGTGATAAAACAAAAGTACATTAAATTTGTTGACTGAAAGCTGATGATCTTGTCTGTAAACCTTCACCAGGTTCAACATTAAAAAGTTAAAGAACTTTTTTTAAAAAATGCATATATAATTCTCACAATAATCCCATGAACTAGATATTCTCATTACTTACTTACAGTTAAGGAACCTGAGGGACAAACTGGTTAAGTACCAAGGAACAAGGTGACATCTAGTTAGATGCCCAGCCAGGATTCATCTGCCTCTTAACAAACTGCCATAGCAGTTTATGCTACCTAGGTCTATTCCTTTATTAAATCAATGTTTTAAAACCATTAACCTAACATTGACCACAAGATTGGCGGTTATTAGTTTTTGGATAAGGCCACTTCTATATTAAGTTTCATTTTTAATAAAAATATTAAAAGCAATCAAATCCAGTGAACAGCTCTCTTCTAAGCAGATATGACAACAGGAGAATATTTGGAATTTAGTTCTTACGTGTAATATACCTTGAATATAGACATACACAATACCTAATCTGAAATTTTTATAACTAATATGTGGTAATTCATTAGAAAGACAATATGGCACCTAACATAAAATATATACCAATAGCAGGATATAGAGCAGCACACCCCATAATTAAACCCACTTTACTATATTTCTATGAAAAGAAAAAAAAGGTACCCATATTCACACTAAGCACATAAACAGCCTCATAAAACCTCCAGCTTTTAGAGGTTCAGGCATATATAGCACTGTGGACTAGCAGCATCTGATTCCTTCTTACTCTATGCTTCCATCCTTGTAGCAACAAGTAGCTAAATGGGAACCCTAAAATTACATTAACAGGATATACCTGAGTGTGTTAAGCAGTCGTCTTGGCTGAGTAGCAAGTTCGTCAGTATATTTCTCTGGATTTAAGAGAAAACTAGCCTGAAGCTGTTCAACTGAAATGATTAAGGACTGTAAACTGCATATTAGTTCATAACTTGCCAAAGAATCTTCTTTGCAATTTCCCTGTCAAGAAAGAAGCACATAAAACAATCTTTTCACTTGTGAACAAATTAAGTACCTCCCACTTTTGGCTTTGTCTCAGGAGTTGTTGTTGTTAAGTGCCGTCCTAGCTTTTTCTAAATTTATTTCAGTATAGTACTAATGTTAGGGGACACTCAAACTTTTTTCATCTTAAATGTATTTTTAATTTACTTTTATGTGGATAATACTGATGTCTTAGTTATGAAAGAAAATTGCTTTAAATATACTTAAATTTCTAGAGTGAGTCAATTTGGAAAACTAAAAACAAAACATAAGTAGCAGGTGGGACCCAGGCATCACAAATTGTGGTGGTACAGAAGAACAAGCGTTTGGTAACCAATGGATAGATAAAAAGACCAGAGAAAATACTTTGCAAAAGGGAATAATCTCGTTACCTACCTTCTAAGAATGGCCTCTTTGGTAACACGAGCTAATGAGAAATTTCATTCTCAGCTTGTTGTAACAGATAAATCATCTTTTACCATTACCCTCCTTTTACCAAAGCCCTCTGTGCATCTGTAACTTTTTCATTTCTAATTGAATTTCCTTCATTTTTTATATTCTTTCTTTCCTTTACCTTATCTTTTTGACTGGCTTCATCCTTTAGTACTTCTTTCTTCCTTGAAATAACATTAAATAAGTGCTTCACTCCAGATTTAAAACCAGGACAAAAATATAATACCTACAAAAAGTGAGATTGTCCTTAGTGTTCCACCAAATAAATATACCTAAAATCATTTTTAAAAATCAGTATCATGCTTTTTGTAGAGAACTTTTAAATGGACATTACCAAAAATTCTGAGATTAAACTTCACATCAAAAATTTTCAGCACTAGAATAGCAGTCTACTCGTCCAACATGCCTAAGACTTAGGTTACAGACAGATAACTTTTATCCAAGGGTAAAGATACTTATAACTGTAGCTCCAAGGATCAAGCAGAGAAAGTAAAGGTTTGGCATCTTCTACTTAACCAAGGTTCATTCAGTTTTACTATTCCACCTTAACATACTGTGCTTTCTTTTACACTTATTGGGAGTCTGTAGCATGCAACTTAGAACCACTGTTTTAGCCCATCCTGTGTTATACACAAGATGGCAAAGACAGTATGGATAAATGACTCCAAACCAAACCAAGCTGAATTACCAATGAGCCAATTCCGTCTGGTAGTGACCCTAAATGATATAGCAGAACTGCCCCATAGGGTTTTCAAGGCTGTAATCTTTACAGGGGCAGACTGCCACGCCTTAGTTCCATGGAGCAATTGGTGTGTTCCGACCACTGACTGGTTTGTGACAGAGCACTTAACCACTGTGCCACTAAGGCTCCTTGTCATTAAAATCCTCCAAAAATCTGAATCTTTGAGGAACATTAAAATGATACATTATTCTACTAGTTTTATTTGCATAGCAAAATCAATTTACCTGAAGTATACTATTAAGGTAACAAGTATTGCCAAGATTATTCAATCCCACAAACGGTAGCAAGTTTTCTTTCTTCTCACAGCTTATAGGTGAGGACTGTGCTGCAGGAACAACTTGATCACTATTAAGAGGGAAGAAATGTACAAAGACGTAGTATGTGGTATCATAAAGAAGCAATATGGAAATACTTCCCTAGATTTAGTTTTTCCCCAAATGCTATGTGATTTGAAAGTATATGAATTTTATTCAGATGGCAATTTAAGAGATGAGATCTGTACAGGCTGAAAAATTGCTATAAACATTGCTATAAACTTAAATACAATTATATTCAGCAGGCCTCAAAACAATTCCATCCAGAGGCTGCTAATCCCATTTTGCCAGTAGTTACTAGGTACATCAAACTGACCCCAACTCACAGGAACCCCATGTGTGTAAGGATAGAATTGTGCTCTATAGGGTTTCCAACAGCTAGATTTTGGGCAATAACCAGACCTTTCTTCCTAGAATCTCATTTTACAAAGTAGAAAAATAAGGAACTGGTATTGTTTTATTTAGCCAATGATATGTTAATCAGGATACCTGGTATGGCACTGTAGGATAAGCATTGGACTGCTGACCACAAGATTGGCGGTTCAAGCCCACCAGCTGTACCTTGTAAACCCTAAACAGGGGTCACTAATACTAATGTCTTAATTATGAAAGTCAAGTTTCTTTAAATATATTTAAACTTCAGAACTGACTCAACAGCCCTTAACATGTTAATCCATTTAGCCAATTCAGACTCTTGGTGACCCCCATGTGTGTTAGAGAACTGTGCTCCACAGGACTTTTAGTGACTGATTTTCCAGAAGTAGATCACCAGACCTTTCTTCCAAGGCACCTCGGAGTAGACTCAAGCCTCCAACTTTTTAATTAGCAGGCCAAGGGAGGTAATCACTTGCACTACCCAGAAATCCTAAAAATTTAAAGAAAGATGTGGGAATAACCTGATATAACAGCATCTGAGAGAAACTGCACTATCTAAGAACTTAGATTCTATTAATAAAAATTAAGCTAAAAGGGAATCGTAAGAGAATTATACAGCCATTCCTCAGCTAAAAATAAATTGCCTAGATTTATAATTCTTATATTTCCTGTATTTTTTATTTTATTGTTGTTTTTATCTAGCACTTCAAAGTGCTTATAAGTATGTGTGACCAAGTACACTTTATACACTGAAGAGTGCCCACTGTCTTTGAGTCTACGGAAAGGGCGCACATATACATAAGAATCTAACATGCAAAGGGGTTTGAAAAAAACAACAACAGTATAACATGCACGCTGTTTGCGTAACAGTACATAATTTGTTAAATTGTAAGCTCATCTAGACACCAGCTACAGCAACTATGGTTGGCACAGAGTATTTTGTTCTGATTTTTTTTTTATTCTTTAAGATATAATTTATTTTTGTTGTTGAGAATATACACAGCATAATATGCACCAATTCAACAATTTTTACATGTACCATTCAGTGAGATTGATTACATTCTTCAAGTTGTGTAGCTATCCTAACCCTCCTTTACCAAACTGTTCCTCCCACAATTTATTTGCATCAAAAAACACTTCTTGTTTTTAAGTATATTTTAAATGTAATCTACAATTTTACGACTTCAACAAGAATTCATATATATACTGGATATGTTTGCAAAGTTTCAAAATCTCCGATTAACTTTTAAATCTTCTAAACAGAAAAAAGAAAAGAAAAAGAATCACCTTTACACAAATGAGTTGCTATAATACAATGTTTAAATTCTTGAGTTCGCACTACGGATGTAATTCCTGTAGAACACATCAATGTTATTCTGGTCCTACTATACACTGGTACACTCAGTAATGTACACTTTCTTTTTGCCTCTCTATTGGTGTATCAGGTTAGAATGTCTGGGCATGTCAACCCAAGTTTTCTGCTTCTTCATTGATGATTTTTTTAAAAGTACAAAATATTTAATATATGATACATACATTTCAGATCCACTATATTCGGAAACTTTCTCTTCATTTTCTTGAGGCTCTGTGAAATCCAAGGCTCTCTTAGTTTCCTTTTTCTGAAAAAACTTCAGGGAAAGTCTGTTCTTCTTTGATGGACTACCTCCTCTTGAAAGTCCATTATTTTCACTTGGTATGACACCAGGCATTTTCTCTTAAAATCCCAAGAAGTTGACAGGAATTAAGTTTATGGAGGCAAGTTGTAATCACCAGTTATATCTGTTAATCACAGAAAAAAAAAGTTTAGTTTTCAGTTATCCACTGTAGGTACCAAAACCATCAATTCTGAAAAAGTCACTATAGGAATGCTACTAAGTAGAACATCATATTGAAAAAACTAACACATGGCAATAATAGGCACTTCAAGACTGTCTAAATGAAGGAGCTTGCTATACAATCCTTTCTTAATTGACAAAAAATATCAGCTTGCTATGAGATTAAAGGTAGAGTAGTAGGATTAAGGAGCTCTGGTAGCGTAGTGGTTACGAATCGGGCTGTGAACCTTAAGGTCAGCAGTTCGAAACTACCAGCTGCTCTGCGGGAGAAAGATGAG